CCCTGCAGGCCAAGCATGTGGAGGCAGAGGCTTGACATTTTGAGAGGTTGGTAGAAAGCAACCTTGCTGTGACATAACACGGAAAAGCGCGAGAGAGAAATTGGGAGAAAGGAAGAGAGAGAGAGAGAGAAAGAGAGAGAGGGGGCAAGCAAAATTAATCAAAGCACTTTTGGTTATCCATTCCCATTCGGTCCTTGCAATTGAGACAGCGGACGGGCGTTGGGGCAGAAGCATGAATAAACATATGCCGTTTGGACGGCCAAACGCCAAAGAAGCGAATTGATAAGGAAGAATAGTCACGGGGGGAAATGAAGAGGTGATGGAGGCAAGAATGGGAAGAAAGGAGGCGAGGAGACAAGAGGGGGTTGTGGGAGAAAAGATAAATTTGGGAAAAGCGTAAAGTCAACAGAGTGTGCAATGTAGAGGTGTGACGATCAGGCTTGTAAGAAGAGCCGGTTGAGCTATGATGAAAAATTAAAAAAAGTGTGTCCTGTACCGGCAGGAGATATCGCCCGAAGGGGGTTAGTGACGATGTGACCGGTCCAGAGGAAAGCAGGAACAAAAGAAGGAACAAGAAAGCCTTAAGGCCTCCTTTGACCCATCGAAATTGAGGCTGGACTGGCCACAAACACCAACGCTTGAGCAAACAGACGAGCATTGAGGCAATGGGAGACCGAAAGTGTCTGCGACGAAGAGAGAAGAAAGAAGATCACTTCTACCAGAAGGCGACGACGCATTCCTATAATATTCTGGTCGACGAGGTCCTCGAGGCATTTAATTTCGTGTGACTTGATTTTTCATCTTTCAAGAATAGTTGGTTGCAAGAAATTCATTATTTGGTCTCACAATAAGACTTTTTAATTGTACTACCGTGACAGACATCGTCGGAGCCAGAAACCACACTTTATGAAAAGACGTAGTAATGTACTAATCCAATAAAAAGAGTCATAATGGACATCTCATTAAGAATCCCAAAATAAATACAAGAAGTAAATATGAAGCCAGCTACATTTTTCAAAACAATCCTCCGGTTTCCGATGAGACCAATACATAAATTCCTTATAACGAAATTTTCCGTCGAAATGAAAATCCGAGCAAGAGACTCTTCGAAATCCAGTTTTTTTTCATTTGCAATATATTTCGTGGAGGGATTCCTAGATTATACGCAATGGAAGCTTCAGCGTTGAGACGGTAGGTTTGTACGCCGAAGACTGATTCGCAAAGATTTCGGTGAAAATTGCCTGCGTTTTCGTAAGCTTTTCGTCTTTCTTACAACTAGATTCAAGCTACAGAGTAAAAAAAACGCTATGGCTTGTCCCTACATGCTGTATAAATACCCTAGACTGTGTGCTCTTTTAATCGGTATAAAGTGATTTGGTTAATTCAGGACATTGTCAATATAGAAGCATACGAATGTGTATGTTTTTGTGTGATTATATGCTTTCGTCTGTATGTAAAAGTTCTAAACTCAACTTTACTTCGTATATACCACTTCATTATGGCAACTTGATCGTGGTGTCAGACTGCTTTGTAGAACCTATGGCCATTGACTGTGCCCATCGTGATCCTGGTTCGTGATAGTCGGTCTGACAACATGATCGAGCCGCCAAGACGAGCTCCAGAAGAAGCGGACGGACGATGAGTTCAAGTCGTCTGGACGGCTCGAAGTGTAAGCCAAGGCTGCAGGACCAGTTCTCCTTGGGGAGTGGTATGAAAATGGAGTAGAATCAATGAGACATCTTCCAAATGATGATGCCGCCGGACAGTCACGCACTGACCAAAGTCAAGGCCATCGGCGGAACGTGGCAATCTCTTGTGCACAGGCTACTTCACAGAAGCTTCACAAGCAATCGGCTAGTTTCAGACTTCAAGAGCGACGACTGATGCTTCTCAGCCTTCCAAACTGGACCACTCCCGCTTCATTGGGGTCCAGAATGCAGCCAAATGAATCGGCTGTCCATCAGTCGAGTACTGAACTAGTCGTGTCGTGTAAGGGCACCGGAGGCGGATACCGAAATGATGGTGAAGATGGAGCACAAAAACCAGATGCCAAGTGTGAGCTGTTTATCTTTTTGCTCATCCTAACTTGTCCGTGCATTCGTGCATTCATGCATTGCTCTTCTGCTCTGGATAATGTGTATGTGGGCTTATCTCGAGGTCGAAGACAATGGAGCATGGTTCTACATCAATCCAAAAGCACCCGATTAGGAAGAGACAAAAAGAAGCCAAAGCTATCTGGAATGAAGGAACGCAACATGGCAACAGGGCTGAAACAATTCAGAAAAGAATGCAAGTATCAACAGCTAAAACAGCTAGTCACAACTGAGACCGACAGTTTGTTTTGAATACGCTTAACGGGTGTGGCTGGTGTCAGGTCCTCTTGAGGCAACTCGACATAAGACAAGGCCGTGAAGTGGGTTTTGTGCAAGAAAAATCAGAATGTTAACACGGCGCTGGAAGGTGAAGGATGGAAAAAAGGAATCAAATGGACACAAACAAAGCACTCACACATGCATACATGCATACTTGCATACAAACACGGACAAAAACACACAAATTGGAGTATACGCATGGACAAAATCATACACCAGGTATGAAGGATGCCGCTTTGATCGTAACCACGTGAGGGGGGGGGCAAGACCGGTAGGTTTAATTTGAAGGTGGGTATGTAAGAAAATCCGAGACGGTCCACCCGACAAGTGAGTATCGGCTCTACGAAGAGTGGGAGAGGAGGCGAGTGGATGAGGTGCAAACATGTTGGTTCTCGTGAGGCTGCAGGCTGTGGACTGAATTCCCGAGCGGCATCGTTTGGCGTCAGATGGATTTTGCCGCTAGTGGGCGTCAAAATAAACTTCCCAAGAAATCCCTCGAGGCGGACTTTTGTTGGATCCTTTTTCACAAACCACCCTTTTCAACCACGAGCTAGTGGGCTGCTCGGTGAGCGATTGTCTCACATTCAGGCAGGCGATCACAGATTTACATGCAAGGGGCGCCAGTATTGCTACTATCACCAACATTACTTCTGCACGTAATGCTACTTTTCACTAAGAGCGTGATAATGTGGTTGGAAGGATTCATGCCGACTGTCTTGGAGTGGAGACCTATTTTTGTGCGAAGAAGTATTTGGCTTGCCGTTCCGTGACTTCGATGGATCGTCAGTTGAGCCTTTTTTTCAAGAATTATCGGACCCTCTGGCTACCTAAAGATGCTGCAAGGCTTTGTGCTTATGCGTTGTGGGGGAGAAGTGCCGACTCAAGGTTATGAGATTATCTTAATAGAAAACAGCAGAAAAAATAATATAGATCCAAGAAGCTGAAAAGGCTGATACAGCGCACAAACTAGGCTGGTCCAAAACAGGTTTTGTAGGCTACAAGAACTTCACATACAGGCACAAGGTTAGGGAGTCCATGGAAATGAACCAAACAGCCAACATCCTGAACAAGAGCAATACATACATACATACATACATACATACATACATACATACATACATACATACATACATACATACATACATATATATATACATACATACAAACAAACAAACAAACAAACAAACATACATACATACATACATACATACATACATACATTATATATACAAGCGGCAAAATTTCTGAATCAAACGTCGGTTTATTTAGGCAAGAAAGCAGCTGGGACCACACAACTTCATTTTCATACATCAGGATCCTTCAATCGCATGCAGGGTCAGAATGGGGTAGTCAATCAAAAAATGAGATACCTAATTAAGATAGCAAAATTTGGTCTAAATAGTGAGTATGATTGTATCCAATCATTCTTTCCTTGGCATAGTTAATTTGATGTGTGTTTTCTTAACACATACACGCACACACACATTTTCTCTCTCTCACACACAGAGCATAAATACAAACACAAACACCAAATAAGCTGCACTAGACCGAGAGGAATCTGGCGTCGTCTTATTGTGAAAGTAAGTCATGAATCTCTTCATACGGCACTCTGGCACGAAATAAAGATTAGCTCAGCAGTGAAAACCACAATACAGCCATTTGGGACACATGTCGCAATGCATTCCAAAGCAAAATAAAGCCTTTCTCCAATTCAACGTGGCTAAAGTCACCATCCCTCTCACATACATTTACATCATACAAAAATAGTGCATCTCCACACTGGCCAATTTCACGTAGCAATCAGTCAGACACATGCGCCTAATCCACACATTCAGACTCGGCCACAATCTCGCAATCCTGACAGCTTAAGAATGCAATCAGGGCGGCCGTAGATAATGCGGAAATGAAGCTGCCCGACCGAATAGATAGCATCGTCTCCACAACGATAAGGTGAAAATGAGGCTACAGCTACAATCCGAGCGTAGTAGCGAGGACGAATAAAAGGGATGAAATCAAACTGAGGGACGAATGAAAACTGTAAACAAATAGCAAAAAGAGCCTGTCTGGTTGCTGGTACGGCAAAAATGGTGAGGCAACATCCAAGCCCTTTCATGTAGAGGTGAAAAGTGAACACACCAATTCGCTGAACAAATGCTAGAC